ATAATAGAATCAGTGTTCTGTCAGTGTTGTTTCTGCCTACTAAGTAATCATAATTTGCCTTTTGACAAGGGAGTAAAGAAATTAGTGTAAAAGTTAATTTCCATGCCTTAGGCCTGAACAATGCTCTAGGCAGATGTCATTCTTGCTAGTGAGAAATAAACCCCAAGTATTACTTTTGTTCATGCACCTTTTTTTAAAAAAATAGATTTTTGAATAGACTGTTGCTTGAGTAGTTCAGTCATGTAAGAAATGGCTTTTCAGAGGTAATTCTAGGATTTTTATTATATATATATGTATTGTATTGTATTGTATCTTGTTTGTTCATTTGAGAGGCTAGTGGTAGCAATGGTTTCTGTTGTATGTCTATCCATAGCTTACTTTTTGTAAGCACTGCTGGTTTGTTTCTAGGTAGCAAGAATTTAATAGCCATGGGGGTCATGACAGAATAAGTATCAGCAACCATTTCAAGCTAGGTACAACATAAGAATGCCCTTCGTTCCCTCGTGTAATATTTTTAAATGCCCCAAATTATTGAATCACACATTATTTAGGTATTCTTGCTAGAAGTCTCATTAATTTAATAGATCAAATATTTTCTAGAGATTGAAAAGTCCTAAGATTATATACCCCTCTTCATCATATCTCTAAACTGAGAGTCCTGGATTTACATTAATCAAAATAAGCATGTACTTAGGGCACCAAGGGAAAGGGGCACCATAAAGTTTTCCCTTCCTAGCTATTAAGACTTTTACTTTTTCACTTCCACACTAGTTTCCACCAGTTATTAAGTCTTAATATCTTGTTAGTTAAACAGTGGAAGGGCTAAGGGGCACCATTGTTGGGTTGTGGTTGGTTCATCAGTTGGCCTTGGGTGATAGGAGTTCATTTCTTGCTATAGAACATATTTTAAAATACTATAATAACTGTATATGCTATAATTTTATGTTCTGTTAACTGCCCAGAATTGACATATTGGATGATGGGTGTCATATAAATTTAATTTACCAACTGGGCAATTAATATATGTAGGTATTAATATGATATTTTGAAATAAAAACTATATCGAATAGAATGAAAAATATGTTCCAAAGCAATTGTATTTTGTAAAGCAATATTTATGAACTGAGGGTGCTAATTTATATTTCTCTCTTGGAATATCAATACTTTTAAAGATTTTTTTTTAATTCTACTTTTATTATTTTGATAAATAATTCAAATTATCAAACTTAACTAATATTTCTTTCCCCCTCCTGCTTTTGCTACAACAACAATTGTGCGGTGAGTTGGACTGAGAGAGAGTGACTGCTCCAAGGTTATCCTGCTTGTTTTCATTGTTAAGGGAGGATTAGAACTCATAAACTACTACTTTCTAGCCTGGTGCTTTAACTATTAGACCAAACACTTCATTAGAGATTGGAATTTTTGGTGGTTTAAATATTCTTTAAAACTGTTGGTTAATTCCATACCATATTTAGAATGACTTCAATAATAATATAGCAAACCTCAATTGTCAAAGTTGTCGGTGCAGCATATCTTGAAGTTATGTTCATTTATACTAGATAACTGAACTTCAAGGAGAACCAAGTCATGATAGGCAATTAGCAGTAATTAGAAAGATTCAACTCAATGAGATGTCAACATTGAATTACTTAAAGAAACAGCTGAATGTCAGGCATTTGAAAATAAAGTATTTCTTCCCCTGACATCCAGGTATGGCATATGAAATATGAAATGTTAATTTAACTTTTCTGCTTATTATTCATGTGCAATATTATTTTGTCATTCAGCTACTACTTTGACAGAATTTAAGAAGTCTTAGAAGAGTGCTTCTGGAATAAAAGATTAATCTGGCCAAAGGCTGATGAAGTCTAATAACTATTTAAACTAGTTGTTAAAAAGTATGCTATATTGCTTTGTTTTGCCTGACATTTTGTGATAATACTGTATTGTCTTCCAGCAAATATCCAAAGGTAGTTTATAAATATGTGCTCTGCCATTAAACATTATTGTTGAATAAGAATGTATTGAAAACCAAAATACAGCAATGCGTATTACTACCAAATGCCATTATTTTTAATGGTCTCACTTTCTGGTATAGTCCAAATAAATTATTTTACCAAAAGTAATTTCCATAAAGGTAATGTTAGTTCTAATATATACCTTTAAGTAGATTATGCTGCTGTCCAAATATTTTATTCCAAACTTCACTGGAAATATTTAATCAAATAGCACATTTGGCTTTTAAAAGAATCCTATGAAAAGGGCGGTTGCAGAATTTTCTTTCATGTCTTTCCAGCTAATGTTTACCTAACAATTTAAGAAAATCATAAATATATTATGATTCCATTGGTTTCAATCGACCACTGAAATTGTATGCATTGAATGTGCATGCACCTGTATGAATTATGAGTGGATCCATATGAATTCATCCGAGTCCATATGAATCATCATCGTAATTTGGTGACTAACATAGGACCACTAGTAAGGTTAAATTTCATGTTTTTCTTTCATTCATTTCTTTCATTCATTTCTTTCATTGTTTGATTCTGGAGACTGCCTGGACAAGTCCCTGCAGTTTTCTTGGCAAGATTTTTCAGAAATGGTTTGCTATTGCTGAGGAAACTGCCTCCTTCCTAGGGTGAGTGGCCCAGAGTCACCCAGCTGATTTCATGGCCATGGTGGGACTACAACTCATGGCCTTCCAATTTCTAGCTTAATGCCTTAATCATGACATCAAACTGATTCTCAAATTTCATGTATTATTTAAATATAATGTTATTTTAAATGTTAAAGTTACTAAGAATCTTGTTTATAAAATTCTTTTTTCTTATAAATAGTTTAAAGTGACCCCCCCCCCCAAATAAGTGTGTTCTCATGCAGCTCAACACATACGACACCACATAAAGTATTAACGGATAGAAATAAGTATATATTCCATACTTTGGCCTGCTCATATATTATGCAAATAGTCCTACTCTAACATTGTAACATTTTCCACTTTGAATGAAACATATTAGTTGTTCAGCTTTTAATACAAACACTTGCTTTAGTAGAAGTTATTCTGCTTGAATTCAGAATGTCTTTGCCAAGAGGTTGAATGCATGTGTACCGCCTGACTTGTAATAAACTAGTCCAATAAAATCTGTGTAATTTTTTTACATCACAAGAATGACAAAGTGCAGGTAGTTGAGTTATGATCATAATTGAGCCTGGCGATTGGGGGTTGTAAGTCATGACAGTGCTTATAACCACAATTGATTTTATGACCTTTTTCCATTGGTTGTTAACCCAGTGTTCGCTATTGGTCAGTTTTTGCTGTAAACACGTTTCCAGTAAGATCATCATGAATTATAGTCAGATAACCATGGGGCACTGCAAATGGCCATAAATATGAGCCAGTTGCTAAGTGCCCAAAATATGGTCATATGATTGCAGAGGGGCCCTGATCTTAGAATTTCGAAACTTGGTCATAACTAGCTTTTGTTACTAAGTGATTGGTCATAAGTCAAGAACTACCCATAATTGATAAAAACTACTAAATATCAAACAACAAATCTAAAAAAGGGAGCAAAACCCTGGGCAAATATTACTTTTCAGGATGTTGAGCTTTTTGATCAGAAGGTTGGTAGTTCAGCAGTTTGAATCCCTAGTGCCGCGTAACGGAGTGAGCTCCCGTTACTTGTCCCAGCTTTTGCCAACCTAGCAGTTTGAAAGCACGTAAAAAAAATGCAAGTAGAAAAATAGGGACCACTTTGGTGGGAAAGTAACAATGCTCTGTGTGCCTTTGGCGTTTAGTCATGCCAGCCATATGACCACAGAGACGTCTTCGGACAGCACTGGCTCTTCAGCTTAGAAATGGAGATGAGCACCGCCCCCTAGAATGAGGAACGACTAGCACACATGTGCGCGGGAATCTTTATCTTTACACTAAGCCTATAGGTCTCTGCATTTGTGCTTTTGCAATATCTAATTAGGATTTTTCAGAAGGATTTTTTTAAATTCCTCTGAATAAACTATCATTTTGCCTAATTGTTTATTACACATTATAAGCATCTTTAAAATGTTATTGTCGGATTCTTGGACTCTGACTGGTCTATCATTAAAATCTTTATGGCTTTCTGCTGAGTACAAACTAGTAAAAGATTGTTGGAATTATTCCAAAATTAAAGTAAATGTTACATATTTCATTTTCCAGTATAGTCTGATACGCTGTTTTCTGTGAAATAAATATCCTGGTCCATTGTCAATCAAATTCAATAAGCCTGAGTTTTGTGTTCATGCTATTCATTTGAACTAAATCTCTAACAAGCCTCATCTGCTAATTGGAATTAACATTTATGTTGCTAAATGAGATGCATTTTGGCTGCAGTATAAGGGGATAAGTGCTACCCAATGGAATAAACAACTAACATCTGTTATCTTGTCCTGCTCCAGCTTGGCTTTTACATGTAAAGTGCATCACTTTCAGGGTCAAGGTTATGGCATTTGTAGTTCCCTGGCTGTGTGGTATGTACATGAGGAAGGGAAGAAACAGTAGCATAAAGACCAGCCAAACAGACGTATAAAACTGATACAAGACAAAACATGATATTCTCTGGAATTTTTCAGTAGAATATGTGGGTAAATTTATTCTGACAGCCATTATAGCCAATTCAATGTAGCCCACAAAGTGGTTACACTGCATATCTCTGCATTTTTCTACATATAGCACTAATAGTATTAATAGGGGCAGGATAATGCAATATTGTGGGCCATTGTTTATTACACCCCTTTTCTTTTACATGTTGCAAGATAAATACTATCAACCAGTCTCTTGTTCTCTTTTTAGCTTTAAGTTTATTTGTAATTTGTAACCAATAAATGCAGCCCACATTATTGCAATTTGGACAACATATGATGAATATTGAATTTTGTAAAGCTAAACTATAACAATACAGAATGCTGTTTGTAATTGCATACCGAATACAACTATTCCTATTATTTTTGTATCTGGAAAGCAGACCCTGACATCCAGCCTGACTGAGTTGCAACGAGAAAAATCAGATTTGCAAGGAAAATTGGACCATCTGATCCAGACGACCAAAGGGAGAGAAGGCCTGTCTCTTCCAGCATCTGGCCATACTGGAATGGTACCAGCTACTCCTGTCAAGACTGTAGATTTGGAAATGAAGCAGCTACAGTGTAAACTGAAGGTGACCATTTTATACTATGAAATAGTTAGTAAATAGGCATCTTATTATGATAGAGAATATCAGACATTTAGTGACTAAAAAGTGGATGAAAATTAAACATATCTTGAGATGCGAGATTACTTGGCTGTTAAATTATTTTTAACAATTATAATTCAATAACTATATGTTAATATTAAAAAGTCATAAGATTCAAATTTCTGAATAACTGATTTATTGAAAGTATTTTAAGATCAGTTGTAGTAATCTAGTTTTTATAGTACAAGAAGAAGGACTGGTCAAAGGATTTTTTTTGGTAAAAAATAAAGAACACTTAACTTATTGCATATGCTATGAATGAAGAAATATATGCTCGTTATTGCTGTCTCTGAGAAAATTTCTCTTCTGTTTGACTAGCCTCAAATAACTTTTGCCCAAGAAAAACAGCTATAAAATGGCATCTTACTTGTGCTCTTTTAAGGCAAAAAGTTAAGGGATCAATTCCTTGTGAGGAAGGAGGATACTGAAAGCTAAGGGAATTTGGAGGAAAAGACTAAACAAAAGAAGATAATAGTCACTGAAGAGGAAGGAACTGATAGAAGAACGCAGGGAAATGAAAGAAAAAGATCAATGGTGTGTGTGTGTGCGCACATGTGTGTAGATATTCTTAAAAAAACACTGGTAAGAATTGTGAAAAAATAAACAATCACTTAGTAAGCACAAAGTTCTGTCCCTCTAAGTAGAGTCCATTTATATCCATACTTTGTGTTGGTTACACAGTTTCATTAAAAAAAAGAAATATTAATTTGTAAATCCCTGAGTAAAAAAAGAGACACAGCTACAATAATCCTGGTATTACACACATTTAAAATACTATGCCACAAGAAGAAGAACTGACAAAGCACATAAATATTTTTATGCATAAAAATAAATATTTCTCTCATAAAGATTATTTGGTGGTAAGATTTTAAAGTATATGTATTTATTCCCAAAATCAAATTAAAAGGAATTATGCTACTTCTGTTAAGATAAATCCAGCATTGTTACAGATGCCCTATATTTTATTTTCTCCACATCGGTTTTGCCAACATCACTCCCAAGAAACTAACATTCCTGGAACAGATGTGTCCAAAATTATATCTAGAATTTCAAGGAATCTCTCAGATCAAATCAATGCTTGTAAAAATCAATGTAGTTTTATTTCCTTAAATTGCAATCCTGTGGTCCATAGGGCAGTGCCCCAGAAGAGTTATAAGAGTTGAAAGAAGTGCATCCTTTGAGAGTGTATTATTTGGTCCCAGACATATCATATAAGCACAGTACAGAAACTTCACCAGCCTGTCTTCTCCTATAAGACAATTCCAGTATCAGAAAAAGTAAACAATAGGTGTGCCAAAGTCAAGCTTGGGAATATGCTCAGAGTTATTGATAAAGTTTAGCTATTCTAGGCCAGTTTTGGATGGAATATTTAAATCAATCAAAAGTGTTCTTGGAAGTAAGGTGGAAGTACATTTTTTTCTGTTTTTATTCTGCCATGCTACAATGCTTCTAAGACCTTGGATTTGTCAGAGGCCTCGGCATTGCAACTTAAAATAGGATTTCTCTCCTTTGTCTTCTACTTCTTCAAATACATCCAATGTGTGGGTTAATCTCACTAGAAAAAATTGATAATATCAAAAGGAGCAAACAAAGCATGTTCATGTAATACAATAGTTTTCATTGTGTTTGAGAACTGATAACAGTGATAATTGGTAAGGAGTGCCTTGGCACATGGCAGATGCTAGCTTTTTTCATATTGTTCAGATGAGGCAATACTTATCCACTTTATGGTTACTTTCTGCCCTGATTAGTGCAACACTTTATGCATCAGCTTGAAAGGTGCCCATAAAATTTTAGTCGATGCAAATTAACTAGGCAGCTAACTGGTAAAGATCGAAGGGAGCATATGATACCTATGCTGAAAGATCTGGATTTGCAAGATCCAATCTGGGTCAGTCACTGGGACCAAAGGTGTATTTTTCTGAGCTTTCAGACTCGTGCTGGAGCCCATCCTCAGGGAACTTCTCTCTAGCACAGTGTGTGCTTTCGGCTAGAGAGAAGCTCCCTGAGGATGGGCTCCCAGCACGAATCCGAAAGCTTGGAAGACAAAACCTCTGGTCCCAGTGACCGACCCAGATTGGATCTTGAAACATTATCCTGGGACGCGCATATTTGCCTTCATTCATGATCTGGGTTTGGTTCCCACTTGTTTAGTGGGGCTTAATGAATCTGTTGGTCTTGACTTAGGGTCTGACTACTGAAGCAAACAAGCCTCCTGGAAATAAATTCATGTGCTAAAATCAGCAGGAAAGGCCCTTTTAAAGATCCCCTCTGCTGACACAAACTCATCTTTCTGGCAGGTAGGGGCAGACCTTTTGTAGCATTTTTCCCAGGCTGTGAAATGTACTAGCTTGGGAGTTGCTCTTGACTTCTAATCTATCAGGTTTCCTCTGTTTGGCCAAGGTTTGAATTGTTGACTTATTTTATTGTTAATTTTGATCTGTGGTTTTTTTAAAAAAAATTATATTCTTTTTTGTCTTTTAAAATTTTGGTATTTGTTTTGGGTATTTATCGGTATAGGAAGGCAAGGTATCAATCAAATAGATATAAATAAAAAATCTTAAAACTCAATTATAGGAGAAAGAAAGAACTTATTAATAAATGAGTGATTAAAATGTAAATGTTTGAAGGCCTGACATGACTAACAAGGAAAAAAAATAAGTCTATAAAGATAGCCTCACTAATGAACTATTATCAAAATATATTAAATTTTAATACACTAAACTACTCATTTCTTAACACATAAATTGTGTTATATTAAATTATAAAACCACTGAGCCGGTGGCATGAGAATACAGTATGTATCTACATGTTACCATATTAAGATTTTGTTCGATGGTTTAAACAAATTTAGATATTGCTTATCTCACACTTGGAGATACTGGAAAAAATGAAAAAGTTAACATTTAGTAATTAAGTTCTGAAAATAATCATTAAACATTATAGTATTTCAATATTAAAATACTATAGAGAGAAAGAGCATCTATTGCAATTCTGTACAGTATTGCCTTATCTGGCCAACTGCCAACAAAAGTTTGCCTTTTGTCATTTAATATAGGGATCACAATCACCCAGTAATATCTGTCATCTGTCAATTGATCAGAATTTTCAGGAAGTTTGGAGATAATCATGTTCTTATGATTATCATATTCATTACTCTTATAATCTATAATTATGACATGGATCCCCCCACTCTTATTTCACAGGAACAATGTTTTTATGAAGGAGAATTGTTTGTATCGGCCCCCCCAGAATTGTTGACAAAAGAATATTGAAACAGGCAAGACTGAACACTCTGTAATATTTAAGACTGAGCTTTTATCATCATCTCCCTTTCTTATGAATTAGGCCTGATTCTCAGTTGTTATATTTACAGAAATTGTGTGCAATCAAACTGCCAATCTCTATCAACAAGCCTTTACCTCAGTGTAGCCTTTGCTTGTTTGCATCACATTCTTGACAGCATTTAGCAATGAAACTCCACATTGGAATATTTTTTTCAGGACTCCTTGATTCAAATAGACTGGACTGCTAGTGATCTGTCAGTATTAAAGGATTCAGGCATGATCTGTGGAGGAAGTCAGTTAGGGCAGTAGTTAAGAATTGTTAACCAGATCCTGGTCTTTTCTTCATCTAGCTCACTTCTAGTGGAGTCCTGCATAATTACCAAAGAAAATACAAAATTATGACGCTTTTTGTTTTCAATTTTGTGACTTGGGTTATTCAGAAATCAGCAGATGCAAAATATTTTTTTAATCTGTCTGAGCATGTTCACCCAAATTTTGTCCATCTACTTTGGTAGAAAGAACTAAACCTATACGCTAATCCTAAAATTATTGATTAATAGCATAAATAACTTAACTAAAACCCCAGGCTGCCTGAGAAACTCCTTTAAACTCCAAAAGAGTTTATGATATATTATGTATATCACATGAATAGCTTTTTTTTCTACCAAATTTTAGCCACACTAGAAGTGGTTTTTGAGATCAGGTTTCCTGCTTCCACATTTACCCAATGATTGCTGGAAAACATTTGCTTCATTTTCCTTCCCATTCATACCATGTTATTTTGCACGGGAAATGGCGATTTGTTTTTATTGAACATAAGACCTTAACCACTGTCTAAGCACTGCAAGGTAACCTATTGCAGAAGCCCACTTGAAATAAGTGTCCATATTTACATAAAGCATGTAAGATCCTTTAATGGGATGTTGACATTTGCCTATTAATAAAAGTCAGTATCAAAAGCAAACCTAGAAACTTCAGTGATTATTATGCCATCATTTGTCATTTTAACTGATTTCTTATTAAATTGCATATATTTAAAGATTGGGTAATGTATCTATTGAAATTCTGACATCATAGGCATGCTTGGACCAAATGAAAACATTTCATTCTGTTCTGTAATTTATAGTTACATTTCCTCTGTTTGAAACTCCACCACCCACCCCAATGTCTTACTCAAAGAAAGTTCCTTTTGAAATACAAGAATTATGGCTCATATTCTTTTTGTATTTCAGAAATATAAAGTATATATTATTTTCCATACTTTATATTAAGAATGTGGTCGTATACGTTTGAACATATGCACTAGATTTTTTTTTAAAAAGAAAGATAATACGTACAGGTTAAAAGTCTTCCTGCACTTTATCAAAAGCATTTGAAGTCTTTGTAAGCCAATTTGTACGTTGTATGTCAGCATTAGATGTATGTTTTTAAAAGGTGATAAGCATTTTTAAAAATATATAAAAATTTCAATACTGTGTATTTCATTCAGAATTATACCATTTAATCTTTGAGTCAACATTTTATCTTAAAAGTCTAATGAAGACTGTATAGTATTGCAGAGAAGCCTACGTAGTATTTTAAAAACGGTATCTTTATACATGAAACTTCACATTAAAATCTATATTTTCATAGAGAAAATATAGGGAAAATATTGTTACCTATAACATCCCAACTAATTTTAATGGGGGGAAGCCCATTATTAAGCCTATTAATAGGGAATATTCTTTAATATATTTTAGATTTTGATCTTAGAAACAACCAACACACTCTTACAACCACGTGGCATTACTATAGCATAAAAATGAACTAAATATTGAACTAAATATTTTCATATTTTGTAGAATCATCTACAATATACAGTCTAAGGACCATAACAGCCTCTATAATAAGACAGAAAGGAAAAAGATTAGCAGGGTGCATCCATGAACACCAACAAGCTGTCAAAAAACAAACAGTGAAACTCCATAAACTCACCAGACATGGCCGACTCAATCATAGTTTCAACTAGAAAACTGAACATCCTAGATCAAGTTGAATCCAAAAACACAAGGGAATTCCAGGAGGTTTCTCACTCAGACATACAATATCAACTGCCAGCAGAGGTGGGATCTGACAGGGTTAACTCCAGTTCGGTCATTTATGAGGTTCAGTGATTTACGATGTGTTTCCCTGCACACTGCCGGTGTGCCTGTAAATCGTCATCAGCATGCTGTGTGCAGAGAAGCAGCCTTTCAAAAAGCCCCTTTTCCTGCTTTTTAAACTGCAGATATGCCTCACACCGCAGCTGAAGTTGAAAAAATCAGGAAATAAAGGTCAGGTAAGAGCCCGGGTCGGCCAGTGGGCAAAAACATCAGCAGACATAGAACCGGTTCTATGTCTGCTGCTCTTCAGAGCTACCGGTTCTACAGAGGTGGACAGAACCGGTAGAAACTCACCCCTGGCTACCAGTAGTTACATAGAGGTCAACTACATTTACACACCGTTCAAAAAAGACAATTAAAAAACTAAAAAGGAAACAGACCAGTACACATCTTCTTCAGCATCCAACACCCAGAAAAGCAGGAATTAACACCAGGTAAATAATCAAGCAGAAAATGATAAGGTAGTACCCTAATCAAGGAACTACCAAAGAGAAACACACACACACACACACACACACCATCAACACTGGCCAGGCAAGCTACTGTATATAAACAAAGAGCAAACATCACACTCACTAGGCAGGCAATGAAACATCTGTAAACAAACAAGCTAAGAAAGCATCAAGGACTCCCCAGATTTTGATCTCTTCAGTCAGTTTTGATCTAATGTATATTTTCCCTAAAACCAAAAATGATTAATATAGGTCGATTCTTGTAGTAAAGTCCTTTTTTTCTGTGCATTGAAAACTGTATGTGTGTGTGCATGTATGGTGTGCATAAATATAGTTGGACAGTACCATTTATTTAGAAGTCTAATGAAGTACACTTAATTTATGCAATTTCATATCATCTGCCAGTAGCTATTTAACTATTGCTAACTAATAGTGCGTATTATTTGAAATTACTAAGAATAATTTTGTGATTATTCTTCCCTCTCTTGTCATAACTGTCTACTCTAAAGTGTATGTAATCCATTGAGAAACTTGGTGCCCTGAGATTTTTCTGAATAGCAAGAATAACAAAAACAGATCTTTTTTTAGGGCAGCAGCCTTATAATTTGATTTTTGATTTTTTTGATTTTCAACATTTGTGAGGAGTAGTAGAAGCTTTAGAAATGTAACTTTGGAAATAAACAGAGCTCAAAGTACTATAAATGATCATATTCTACTGTCTCTATGGAGGTGGAATTATAAGAAATAGCAAACAACCAGATCAAATTATTAAATAATAACTAGGACTGCATGCCATATCAAGCCACTTTCTTAAATGCTGGGCTTGGCATTATATGTGAATCTGGCCAATGAAATTAATATACTATAGTTTATCAAATGAAGTATGAATCCAGCAAAATGTAGCTTATTCAATCATATTAAATAACTCTGTTAAATTATAGTTTAGAATAATTTAAGGTTAGTGTTTTTGAAACTGAAACTGACAATAATTAAAGAAAACTTTAATCTTTTGAATGCAATCTTGCAAATGTTTAAGAAAAAATTATATTAAAGTAGAACCAGGTATGAATAGTAACTTTTCCAACCCAGTTTCCATATTTAGCAGCAGCAGCTTAAAGCACCTGTTTGGGAAAAACTTAGCCATATATATTCTAAAACTCACTGTTAGACATCATAGGTAGAATTCTGGCAAAGATATTCCATTTGGAAAATAAAATGAAATTTATTTCACCCTAGGCTGGTCTTGAATAAGTATAAAAGCATCACTGTCAAACCTTAATAACCTAAGTACAAGAACTTTAGCGGTATTTTTTGCTGTTCTAAAATCAAAATAGACTAACCTGTTAAATAGCAAAGTTTCACTTTGAAACACAGTGTGAACAGTTACAGCTCTGAGTAATCCTACATCAACATTACTGAGACTTTAATAAAATGTTTCATTCATTCTAGAATGCAAATAATGAAGTCACTAAACATTCATCAACCATTAAATCTTTGAAATCCGAAGTCCAAAGAAAAGAAGAACAGATGCAGGAATTGCAAGAAAAGTAGGTCCCAGTTACCTAATTGTTGTGTTTGGCTCCCCCTTGTGGCAAAAATGCATTTGCTTTAAATTCATGGACATTTTTTGGAATGTGATCTTTCCGTATATATTTTTCTTTAGGCTTTTTATGTAAGGTTCATATTATTTACTCTTTTAGGAGAAAAGTATTAATACATATTTTTATTTTAAGTTCCTGGGTAATTTTCAGTACAAAAGATGATATATAACTGTAATAAAGCGATTTTTTTTTTAAAAAAAAAAATCAGATTCCAGTGTGCACCTGATTCTATCCATCTAAATGAATACCTCAGCATACTTGAAAGCAATTTTTCAAATACAGTGATTCTTTGCCTCAGGGCTAAGAAGCACATCAAGGTTTAGATGCTTAAATTGGATTAAATGTCCAATTTTATAATTTCTGGAAAATGCAAAAAAGGCATTTGTGTCTATTTTTGAGTTTATTAAAATGTATTTTTTTTGCTAATTAGTTGCTTAGTTAAACATAATATCAAATTGTGAGTGAACCAAACAATGTTTAACCCTGCAAAATAAGAGTTATTTCATTAAAATGTTTCATCTTTAAAAGGATTTAACAAAATGCATATTTTATTGATTAAAAGCCTTGAGGAACCCCTAAGGAATTCAGCTGGAGGTGAGAGAGAGCATTCTGATATGCCTATGCTCAACCACTATATTACAGTATAGAGTAGATACTGAATATGCTTCAATATTCTTGATTGTCCCCATAAGCTAGATGTATCTACTGAAATGTAAATTCTTTCCATTGGCTTTTATTGTGATTTTTGCTGGATCTACTGGTATGTGATGCCTTAAAGATTAAAAAGTAATTAAAATTTTTTAAAAAAATGTATTTTGTATAAGTATTATGTTGGTTCATTTTATTGGGATAGCATGTTGTTGTCACAAGAAAATAGGAACAAGTAACAGTCATAAGTGTAGATTTCTGTCTGATATGTCACCCAGTGAACAGCTTCTCATTTCTTTCCTACAGGTTTGTTATTTAGAAGTTGTACATTTTGGGGAAGTCACATTTTCATCGTTGAAATTGGTCTATTGATTTCCCATACCATAGCTGTCGTTCTACTTTTTAAAACTACCTCATATTGATACGAAGCTTTTTATGTAATACATAGTAGTTCAAAATCATGACAGCCAATTCACATGGTGATACTTTTAAAAAGCTATAGTTAATTTTAATTTATTTTTTTTCCTTTAGACTAAGTAGAATATTTTGCTCCCCTTTTGTTTATAATTATATCATCATCACAGTATGGTTTTCTATAAACTAGTGTGTATTTTTATTGTTCTGAATTTCTCCTGTGAAATGTGGGGTTTAAGATTCAGAAGCCCACAGAGATTAAATCTACTGTACCTTTTAATGCCATTACACAGAGGGAAAACTTTGAACACTTTTCACTTGACAAATGGTACAAAGATAAGCATGGAACTGAGCATTAACGATTATTCAAAAGAATGACATGCCAGTTGCATAATTCTATGAATGTTTCATTTTCTCTTTATTTCAAGGATTTCTAGAATGGAAAGAGATATAACTATGAAAAGGCATTTAATAGAAGATTGGAGGCTGCGTATGAAAACATATCAGGAAAAGGAGAAAAGCTTTAATGAAACATTGCAATGTCTGGAAGAAAAGGTCTTTAATGTTTAGTGTTTATTTTAAACCAAAAACCTGAATTCCACCAGATTGATTAATTGTAGTAACCATTATTATGATTAATACAGTTTCATTTGTGCAGAGATTGCTCTTAAAAAGGTCAAATAACTTAATGCGATAATTAAGTGCTTCTTAGTATTTTGGAGGTGTTGTACAGCAGGAATTTCACATATCTGTTTCTTGAAAAGAGATATCAAAGAAAGAGTCTTCTTGCAGTGTAAATCAAGAGAAAAATATCAAAGGGAAAACAATGACCTATACATTATTTTTATAATAATAGTTATGTGTGATCCCTTCCATTGTTATATATTTAATGATTCCATTTTATGCTCTTCTGAAAGTTGTTTTCTTCATAAATATTTAATGCATTTTTCTGATGCTTAAACAGATTGGAAGAGAAACCACCCCTTAGTACCTCTGCAGTGTGTTTTAGCCCTGTTTTATAGCAAACAAGTCATATGTGTAGGAATCTCTTAGGCTGCAAATCATAACATCCAAGAAACACAGAAACAAAGCACTACTTTGGTTCTTTTTTAAAAGCAGGTGCTAGCTTTTTAGGTGTGAACATGGTTTCTGCTGGCAGTCATACATTGTCAATTCCAGACAAAACTATCTTGCTCTGTGTATATGAGATATCACTTAGATACTGTCAGCCCAAGAGACAAAATTGGCAGGGTGGGAAAAATCTCAGACAATATAAAACGGAACCAGGATAATTTCTTGAAGAGAAGGCAGTATGAAAAAGCATTTTAGAGACCTATGTTATACTATGCAATGAGGTGTTGATAGTGTTTTAAGTATTAAAAATATTGTGATTTTTTGGCTACCTTGAGTTAGAAAAAAAACAAGTGTACTATATGCAAGAATATGACCTCTTTAGATATGCTTTGTAAATTGATTCCTTTTTTTATATAGACTTGTTTTACAAATGATAAATAGCTATTAACCGTTGGACTATATTATTTGTAATTTTCTTCATCAATACCATATGTTGATAGGTTTCAGAGTTTTTAAGTGCTAGCAATTGGCTTCTTGCCCATGAATTTGATAGGTAGTAAAATGTTCCCCACTTATCTACAAATAAATCCTATTGATTTCAATGGATAGTATCCATGTTTGAATAGAAGCCAAGATAGCCTGCATTCTATTCAGGAGATAAATGAATTATGTACAATTAGATGTGTGTAGTATTTTGATAGTGTTGATGTTCCATCTAAATTATTTAAATGCTTTCCTTAATAGTTTTTTTCTGGATGTTGTTCCAGGCAAAGGCATTAACTGAAGACTGTTCAAATAAAAAAATATCCATTGATTCATTAAAGCAGAGGCTTAATGTAGCAACCAAAGAAAAGACACAGTACGAACAGATGTATCAGAGAACTAAAGAAGACTTGGAGAAGAAGGTACACAGTTATAGATATTATGGATGATTAATATGATGAAGATTTATTAGACTTACATCCTGCCTTCACTTGTTCAGGGTACTTGTATCCAATAACAACGAGGTGTACAAAAAATACAAAGGAAAATACAAATCAGAAACAATTACAAATATATGCTAATGAAATCATCATTAAATTATTAACAATCTGACTTGTTTTCTGGTGCACATTTTTTTACAAATAAATAGTTTCATGATCAGTGCCTTTGCATTTTTAATTTGCCCACAATAGTATTTGTCTTGAGTTTTATTTAAAGCCATATAATATATGGTTGTAATTCAGAAGAAATTTCTGAACTTGAATTACATTAATTATAATCCAATTTTGAATGCTTTTAACTAGGGAAAGATATAATTTTCTAAAATACACTGTTTTATAGTAGCACTTTCTCTCTTCTCTGACTTTAATGTAGTCTTATCAGACAAATATTTTCTACAACAGGTGAGAAACCAGAAAGCAAGCCTCTGATGAAATTTGCTTTTTTCTCCCACTATCCCTTTTTGTTGGGCAAAGTTCTGAATGAATTCATATAATGCCAGATTGTTCTATATTTTGGAGTTCCTTTGTGTTTCTGGGTTTTTGGGTTTTGTTTTAGATATAGCAAAGGTTTAAAGGAGATCTCAGTGTTACACTGAATTATGACTAACAATGCATCTAGAAAGAAACTTTGGATGCATTCTATTGTTACAGGCTTTAATCCTATATTATAAAAATTTCTCTGGATTTTACAAATTATCTTCCCAGAGATTCTAAACAGTTCGGTCTAGCTGAGTATAAATCTATTTCAGTTTCTTCTATAACTTCAATACAGGAAGCATGAGATTTTTAGAGCCAAGATACTCAGGTACAATAAGCACTTAACACTGGACAGTTTACAGAGGAAGCAGCATCTGGACTTATACAAGACAGACAACCAGGCACATTATTTCCCCTGAGTTTTAAACAACAGATGGTCTTAGTGTGTTTTATATCTAACTAGGAGAGTGGGCAGGGGAAAAAACGCTATAGGAGATGGCAATGAGCTTTACAATTAATTTTTGTAGGATCTTCTAGACACTGTTAATTTCTTTCCAATTCAAAAATACTAAAAGACATTTTTTTAAAAATGAACAGAAATAGAAGACATTTGTGACTTTTAACCCTCATCTTCAATCTGCCTAAATCAAGTTTTCCTTTTGCCAAATTCTCTACGAGTTGAGAATATGGTTCCCAGAATTCTCAAGTATTTGGAAAGCAACATATGGGGAAAGTTGACATAGATGAGTGGGAATGTAGGCACACATACACACACACACACACACACACACACACACACACACATATAAAATATAATATAATATATTTATTTATTATATATTATGTATTTCAGGAGCTTAATCTTTCCAACCTAGAAGCTAAAATGGCAGAGACAGAATATACCATGACTGAACTTGAAACAACGGCCTCTCAACAGCTTCACAGCTTAGCAAGGCAAAGTGAACAGGCAATTGAAATGATGCAGAAAAAGTTGGTCATGTCCAATGAAAAAGTAGAAGAGTTTGTAACTTTTGTAAAGGTTTGGCATTTTAAATACCTTGTCACATATAAATATATATGTTTGCATGCATGTATGTATGTATGTATGTATGTATGTATGTATGTATGTATGTATATGCAAACACACATGCATATACATGTTTTCTACAATTTATATGTGAGGTATATAGCTATTTATACCTATATATTTATATCCCTGGAGATGGTTGGTACCTTGAAGACCTTTCCCCATGCCTTCTAACATATTATCTTAGTTTTTTAAAAAAAAATTCTGGCTGTTTTTTGAGGTATTGTATTTTGAATGGATTTTAGGGTTAAAGTTTTTTTTAAAAAAATTGTACATTGCTCACAGTCACTTTGATATGGGGATTATTTAAATTTGACAAATAAATGAATAAATTCTGCTAACCCGCCTTTTTTAAAAAAAGTTGTCCTTCATGTCAGATCTCAAAACTTCCTCTTGGAACATTAGATCAAGGGGGTAATTTGGGCATATCCTTGTTTGTGTGTTGAAGATCAAATATGGGATTGCCAAAGCCAAGACACTGTAAGACAACAGAATCTGGGTTTTTTGGTGGTGGTAATGATGATAATGACATAATTCAAGACCTGGAAGAGGAATAATGAAATCAGTTTTAAAAACATTGTCTTGGATGTTTTAAACTATTGCAATTACATAATTCAAAAATTATTCTAATTATGTTTACATTTAATTTTGGAGACTCTCAGTTTGTGTTGTTGAGGAACAATCCTCCTTCCTCCGCCTTATTTAGTCCATTGTGTCCATTTTTGCATAATCACTTCTTCATTTGCAATATATTATCTTGCTTTCAAGTAACTCTGTCTTCATAGATACATAGTCGTAACCTCTTGTTCTTCAGCCAAAAAGGCTGCTAAAATGTTTTTTAAATCGTTAGGCATTTATTGCCTCAACTTTAAGCTTGTACATTAAAATGGGCCTCAGGTGGGGTTTTTTTAAAAAAAAAAATTTGGAGGTCCATTCACTGGAGCCTCTTGCAAAAACATTTGGGTGTGTGTGTGAAGATTTCTATTTCCTTTTGGATTATTAGAACTGAATAGAATTCAGAATACTGTTCCCCAGAAAGTCTACTGCTCATTGTCCCAGGCATTCTTTGTTTTGGCCATATGCAGCACGGACCATACCCGTTAACAATGGCCTGTAATTTTTTTTTCAAAATACCATACTCCATTCTATGAAAATAATCAGAACTGATGTATGCACTAACATCTTCACCACACCATTTGCTATGACCTCAAGTTCTTATATACATCACAGATTTCACCAGTGTATTGAAATTGGGGTAGGGCTAATGCCCCAATGTTTAAACAATTTACATTTACGTGTATTATGCTTCATTTTCCATTTGATTAATTGGCCAATCTTTTGGAGCTTTTCACAATCATTGCTCTCTTTTTAACATCTCAAATAGTTTTGCAACATCCTCAAAACTGCCCACTTCATTACTTATCCCTAAATTATCAATTAACATGTTTTGAGCAGCTGGAAGACTTTTCACATTTCTACCCAGGCATCATATATTAATCTTCCCTAAAATGTATAGAGTTCTAAGCCTCATGTTATAAAATGATCAGTATGTATTTCACAGCATAATTTTGGTAAAAGCTGTTAATCTGTCGCTCCTAATAGATAAACTGGAAGAAAATAAAGATGCAGTCTGAAAGTCAAATATTGATGATGATCAGAGCAGTTGCTATTGACATTCCCCAAGTTGCTAAATATTTATGTATAAAAGGTCCTCTGAAATCCTCTTTTCTTTTTTCCCCATAGAATGTTGCTAAAAAACTGAAAATCTTACTCAGATTTCACTGAATGCACAAAGTAAACCAGGTTAAAACTCTACTTATATATTTACAAAATCCACTCAGGGGAAATTAAGTTAGGGCAGCTAGTATTCTTTTTATTCATACCATCTTTCTTTAAATATATTTTGTACTTCTGCTTACTAGGAGAATGCCTATATTTGCCTGCTTTCCTCCTGAGGCTTTTATTTTCACATTGCTTATGATTGTCTGTCTTCTCTCAGGCCTTATACAGTAAATACTAAATACAGCATATTTATACAGGAAATGCTAAATATTCACCTGAAACTATTTATGGCTGAATGGTTAAACATGCTGAGCTTTTCAGTTAGAAAGCTGATAGCCCAGGTTCAAGACCTGAATGTTTTACGATGGGATGAGCTCCCATTATTTGCCTCAGCTCTTGCCCACTTAGCAGTTTGAAAGCATAGAAATGCAACTAGATAAATAGGTACCATTTTGGTGGGAAGGTAACAATGTTCCCATGTGCCTTAGCATATAGTCATGCTGGCCATATGACCACAGGAAGAGTCTTTGGACAACGCTGGCTCCCTGACTGAGATATGAAGATGAACACTGCACCCTAAAGTCAGATATGACTGGACAGGGGAAATATTTATCTTTACTTTGATTTATAGGAATGACTTGGACCATGCTGGCTGGGAATGTTATGGATTGTTTTCCAGTTAATCTGGACAGCACTAGGTTTTAGAAGGCTGACCTAGAGAGGCTTCATATGATGCCTACTTTAACGTGTACATGCATGAATGTTGTATTGTATGACTGAATACACAGATAGAGGGTATATATGTGTGCATCTTAATTATACTTTTTCTTTGCACTGACCTTACTGCTTAATTTTTTTTTCTATGTGGTAATTATGCACCACGTACATGACTATTTTGTCCAAGTCAATGACTTTTCCCAACTTACTGGATAAGGGATTGTCCAGTTGGCTTCCATCTCATCTTTTTCTTTCATTTGACTGATCTCTTCCTTTCAATATTGTCCTGTCAAACCTTAGCATCTTCAGCTTTAAGTTATTTTTAAGCACTGTGTATATCTGCAAGAAACCTGTACACCTGTCAGTTATGTCTTCACAAAAAGGAAAGTTAAGAAGTCTTGAAGAGAATGAAAAACAAACTCTTGAAACAAATGATGGATTTGTCATTAAATAATATTTGCAATGATAATTCAAGTAAGCCTTTTAAAAGAACGGTTTAATAATAGTTTCATTCAGAGGTCATATGACTTGAGCATATTTTAAAAATTATATATATTTAGATAAATGTCTATTTACATCAGTAGTAGGGAATATTTTTCTGGCAAAAGCAGGTAAAGATTTTAGCAGATTTTTTTTTTTATTTGATCAGATTTTGTTTATTTTGATTAGTAAAACTATTTACTGTTCAATCTGACTCTGTTTGGAGTCAGATTTTTTTACCTTTGTGTGGTGTAGGAAGTTTATTTATTTTTTAGGAATTCAGTCAGTTTTAGATATTCAGTCTGTTTGGAGTCATTAGACATTAGTCATTAGTCTTTTGCTTATTTAAAAAAACATTCTGGCTGGTATCTTAATGTTCTCCAAGGCTACAGGTACACAATAAATTGTCCCCTTATTACATAAGGTTTTTTTTAAAAATAATAATTTTGTTAAAAAGTAGTAAAAACTTTTAAAAAGAGAAAAAAGTAATGGTGCAGAAAATGAAAAATAGTAAAGAAAAAATATAGCAAAGAAAAACTAAAAGTGTTCGTCACAAGTATAAACAAGTTTAGTAGCTTATCTTCTCTTAAAATACAATATCTTCTTCCCATATTCCATCTGTTATCTATAAAGAAGTAAATGCCTCATCATTTCAATCCTGATCAGCAAAAAACTGTTAAGGGTTATGAGAGAGAACAACATATCTATTTTAACCTAGATCAATTTAATTTTATACTGTTTCTTTTACTTTTAACAATTTTGATTTTTAGTTTTTTTCAAATAATAAACTAGAACAGGGATGTCAAACTTGCGGCCTGCTTGCCAGAAGCGTCACATACTGGCCACGCCCATGCCTGGTTTAGTGAAGGGGAAAAGTCATGATACATTTTGTGATGACGCCATGAGAACACGGATTTGACACCCCTGAACTAGAATGTTATTTCTCTTCATTTTTTTCTTTGTCTGTTCTCATAAAATTTTTCAAAGCTTTAACAAGCTTTTGTAAATCCAAAGGAAAGTTATGGTTTGTCCCTTTTAATTATTAAGATTAAGTTTCTTTTGTATGTTCCATGGTAGTAACTTTTTGCATATCATATTTGTACCTTGACATTTTAAAATCCACTTTCATATCAGTCTCAAATCTTGTCACGCAAAACTCCATCTTCTTCCATAATATCTTTTAAACACTATTTATAGAAGCACACACACACTTTAAATTAACTTCTGGGTCCTTTGTTATAAAATATCCTTCAATAAGTCCAGTGTTAAAATATGTTGCTTCATTCTGTATTAGAAAGCGAATTTAAGTGTTTTAGTTTTCAGACTTGTTGTTTCAAGGTTTCTAATAGCTGAAAAGTAAGTGACAAGTCCCTTATCAACTGATTAGAAAAGGAAGTATGCAAATCTAGTGTCCCATGGAAAACATCTGGCCATAGTTTGAGCAAGATGGCTACTCCCTCATCTCCCAGAACATTAAACCCATCAGAGACTGCTGTCCTGCAGTCTCTTCATGAAGAGCAACCATCTGGAGCACTTTTGGGTGTTCCTTATTCAAATAAGAATTACAAAGAGCTAGTCTACTCACCACCTCTCTATTCCCACTGTGGTCTATCAGCATTGCTTTTAGTAGAGTCCTTTGCCTTTTCTTTCCTAGATCACTTATTACATCAGCTTTGATAAGAGTTTATGATTAAGGATCAATGAAATATATATGTATTAAATAAAGTTTACTGTAGTTGATTGGTGTAATGCAGTGGTTCCCAAACTTTTTCAGTGCACCGCCCCCTTTGTGCTACAAACTCATCCTTGGTGCCCCCCACCCAGAGGTGGGATTTAAATTTCTGTGGGTGTGGCCGAATTTGAGGGCATGGCTTGCTGGTCATGTGACTGGGTAGGCGTGGCTTGCTGGTCATGTGACTGGCTGGCGTGGCTTGCTGGCTGGGCATGGCTTGCTGGTCACATGACCGGATAGG